TAAAAATTCGTCCCGCATCTTTTGATAACTCCCCACGGTATAATAACCCGCACATTTTGAAAAATCGGAGGCTTTCAGGTAAACGACTCCTTGGATGATATAAAAGGAAAGATCAACATATTTATATTTGAAAGGAATACACGTAGTGAGCTGGGGATGCCTCCTCATGATCCACTTGGACAAAAATACGACTTTGGGGCTCTCCCCTTTTATTTATAGAGAGAAAGAGAGTGTGACCTTCCCTTCCCTCCTCCTCCTCTCTCCCTGCTTCCTCTATCTCTGGACGTCCTTGGATTGGAAAGGGTGACTTTGAAAAAAAAAGAAGGTCATGGTTGGATAATTTTTTGTTTATTAAATTATTACTTTCACTTCCTCATTCCCACACACATTCATCTTTTTAAGAAAAGAAAAAGAGGTCATGGAGATAAGATTTTTGGAGAAGAAGAGAGAGAGAAAAAAAAAAAAAAAAAAAAACGGACGTCATAAAACGGACGTCATAGAGCCTCTATGTGTGTCTGTGTGTGTCTATATAGATATATAAAAAGACGAGAGTACTGGGCGAGATCATTTCTTTTCCATTGGGAGCCATGTCGCTATTAGACGTTTTTCCAACTCAACGGATTTCGAACGGGGAGGATTTGAAGACGCTAAAGCAAATCTCCAACTTGAAAATTTTTTTGGCGTGTCATTGTGCGACATTTATTCCGCATTTACCACCTCATCAAGCGATCGTTTCTTTCAACCAAGATGTCGAATCCTCCAACCTGCTCGTTCAGAATATATACAGAAATTTATTCGAATCGCAACAAACGAAAGAGGAATCTCCCTTCTCTTGGAATCGGATGGATCGAGCTTTGAGACGGCCCATTCAAACAGACCGGCGATATACAGATCCGCGCACGAGTTTTCGGTGGAAGAATATTTTTCTCACGAAACGATATTTTACGTTTGGAGTGAGAACGACGGCTGAGGACGAAGTTCATATTGTTCAAACCACAGCCGCTCCTCTCGCCTATTACGAATCATCGTCCCCCAATCTGAAGGAAAGAAGTTTTAAAGTCAGCGACAGGATGAAATATAAGAAATATATTCTAAGACCTTTTCAAAACTATGTCGTTCCCCCGAAAACGCAATATCTCATCGTCACAACCCAGAAGAGTCTCTTTCTCGTCGATCGGTGCTCGTACTCGCTTTGGAAACAATTGAAAGAGGAGATTTCTTTCCAATCGCCGATGATGTTTCAAGAAAAAGAAGAAGAAAACCCTCCGCCACCTTTACCCATCCCTTCCTTAGATGATAAGAGGAGCTGGACCAAACCGTCATGGCCCGAAACAAAATCGACCCGGCAACGGAATGAAATTGAAGTCATCACAATTGAAGATGAGGAGGAAGAAAAAAAAATTACCTCTTAAAAAACGGTCGACTTACCGGAACCTACCTGGCGTGCAAGATCCGCTTCAGAATCCAGAAGCTTCTTCTTCTTCTTCTTCTTCCCCGACTTGTTCAAACAGGCAACCTCTTTCGGACTCCTCACAGACAGAACCTCTTCCAGTATCCTCTTCTTCTTCTTCTCTCTCCTCCAACCTGTCCCGACATCGTAGAGGTAGAATGTCAGACGGGTCCACAAGCTTCAAAAAGTCCCGACATCGTAGAGGTAGAATGTCAGCCGGGTCCACAAGTTCCAACAGGTCCAGAAATCATGGAGGCAGAATCACAGCCGGGTTCACAAGTTCCAACGGGTCCAGAAATCATGGAGGTAGAATTTCAGCCGGGTAAACAAGTTCCAACGGGTCCAGAAATCATGGAGGTAGAATCGCAGCCGGGTCCAGACATCCTAGATCCCTCCACTCATCCCAAAGAGACTCCAAGTGTTTCAAGACAGCCTTGTGAGGATCCAGCCCTTCCCGTATGGAATGATTATATGGACTTACAAAATTTGGTGCAACAGGAAGGAGAAGAAAATAATCATACGGATGGGTGGGTCAAAGACTGTTTAGATCATTTAACCTCGAATGAAATTGAACTGTTATGGAATTGCATTTCTGAAATCACATCGGAAATGGGATAAAAACCAAACAAAAAAAAAAAATTTTTTTAATAACAAATTGGAGGAGGGTCATGATGTCAATTAAAAAAATATTATATAGAGTCCAATCTTGGTGGTTCACTTCAGTTTTCCAGCATGAGGTGATCCACGTTTCCCGAAATATGGATCCCATTCCAAGAGAGATTGTGTAGAGCCTTCACTTCAGTTCTTTTTTTTTTCTACCAAGAGGAGAGGGTCCCCAAAGGGCTACCCATGTCCAAAGAGAGAAAGTGTAGAGCGTTCATTTCAGTTTTTTTTTTCCAAGTTTAGGGGAGGGAGGTCTCAAAATGACACCCCCCATTTTCAAAGAGAGATGGTGTAGAGCGTTCATTTCTGTTTTTTTCCAAAGTTAGGGAGTTTTCAAATGGACTACCCATTTCAGAGAAAGAAAGAGAGAGAGAGAGAGAGAAGGTGTAGAGCGTTCATTTCAGTTTTCCAAGGTTAGGATGGTGGTGGAGAATCCTCCAAAATGGCTACTCATCTCAAAGAGAAAGAGAGAGAGAGAGAAAGCGTAGAGCGTTCATTTCAGTTTTCCAACATTAGAAGGTCCCAAAATACCTTCTGAATTCAAAGAGAGATCGTGTAGAGCGTTCATTTCCAGTTCTCCAAGATCAGAAGAAGAGGTCCGCTTTTCCCAAAAGGGCTTTTTCAGAGACAGCGAAGTGCAGACTTCAGTTTTCTCCCTCCCCAAGAATAGAGGGTCCCAAAATGGCTTTCCATTTCAAAGAGAGAGGGAGAGGCGTTCATTTCCATTCTCCAAGATAGGGTCGTCTGCTTTTTCCCAAAATGGCTTCCCAATTCAAAGAGAGAGAGAGAGAGAGAGAGAAAGGGTGTGTAGAGCGGTCATGTTCATTCTCCAAGATAGGGTCGTCAGCTTTTTCTCAAAATGGCATCTCCCCATTCAAAAAGAGATCGTAACCAATTTTTTCCAGTTTTTTCCAAGATGGGGGGGAGAAGAAAACCTAGGATGGAATAACACGACACACAGAGAGAAAGAGAAAAAAAAACGCCATCTTGTCATTTTCTGATAGGGTACCGGTGTTCGAATACTTTTGTGACCGACTGTACGAATAAAAAGAAATTTAACGAAATCATTATTCGCAGTGATTTAAATAAGCCAAATATTGAAAGCTATACATCTAAATTTAATACGTATTGTGATTATTAGCATCTGTATACTATTCAAAAAATTTTTCCGAATTATTTGCAAGCTTTCAATTTATGCGCAGAAATTTACTGAGCGTAAGGGGCGTATCTTTGACGTGACATCACCCTACACATAGTTCGGATGTCACGTGACCTCTCTGCGCGTTTGGGGATTTAGCGCTGATCGTCGCGGCGTAGAAGTTAGATAAAAAGTTCAAGTGCATCTAATGCGAATGATAGCTTATCATTTGAAACTTGCAGTTTTTTGTATTTTTCACAAAGGTTTTTAAGTTTAAATATCATGTTTCTGAAGCCGTCGAAGCTTTCAGGAGTATTTATAATTTTCGTTTCTGTTTTTCGGAGTCACTGCGTTCGCGTAGGATTTTTTGTTGCTGGGAATTTGGAGGGAATTAGGGATTTTCTTCTTTTTTGGTATATTCATTACTAAACGCAAGTCTGGTGTTTTCTTTTGGTTTTTTTCATTTCCAATGTCCAATTTTTCTTCATTCCTTCACTTTTGGGGCATTGAATACTGCTTGCAGAGTGGGATCTATGAGTTTCGAGACATTAAACACATCTAGCGGTATTATGGTGTGGTGATGGCGATAAGGAGCGCGCCTTGCGCCCTCCGATAAGTTACCCTAGAGGAGAAGTTTCTTACGAGTAGCGAGCAGAGTGAAAACAGGCCGGCTGTCGGGAGTGTGCGCGAAGTTCCGAAATAAAGCTTAATTTTTATTGTGCACTATGTCTTGTTAATATTTATATTAATGCAGTAAAAACATAATCTGTGATATGGAATTCGAGGATTGGTGGTAAAGCATATAGGAAATCACCATAATGGTGACCCGGACTGTGTTAAATCAAGCCGTATGAACAGTTCTCAAGCACTTTCGGTTTTGACTACAAGCCATCACTCAAGATCTCCAAACCAGAAGTAATGGATTACACCGGTTTTCATCCTCCGGATCACAGATGAGTAGTAATTATAGATCATTTTATAATTCTGTTTTCTACTTATCATTTAATTTCATTTTCTTTAGTTAAATTTTTGCTTTTATTTTGGCTTAAAAACCTTGCACAATGTCTGATGTTCATGCCGTCCAAATTCCGGTTTATAACCGATCAGACCCATACAAAGACCATATAAAGAATATATAAACAAACGCATTCAAAGCAGTCTGTTGGCGTATGAAAAATGTCGCCAAAGCGGAATACTAGACTAATTAAAATTATATTGTATTACTAAAATTTTAACATTTTTTTCGGAACACAGTTATTAGAAACATACATATATATTAAGATACTTTTATTTAAATGTTATTTCAAGTATGCATATATTATATAAAATTAGAAAATCTATTTTTTGTTAGAAAACGGCAAGTAGAGTGGATAAAAAAACCTCTACATTTTATATAATTACGTTTTAAAACATTAGAAAAAGCTCAGCTGTGAAATGTTACTCCTCCACCTTTCACGTATCTGGAATTTCATCTATATGCGGAGCACGAAAGTACCATTTTTGAAGTCCGAAACAATGCGCGTACACGCAAAACATTTGCTTCTCACAAATTCTCCATAGAACTGTAATGGGAAGGAAGATCCGCGGGAAATGCGATCTGGGAAATGTTCCAAATGTCACGTGGTTTCGCATTCCTGTTCCCCTTCAGGGTTGCCGTTTCTCTCTCTAGTACATTACAGCTCTATGGTTCTAACTGCCCAATTAGTAGTTGACATTTTAGCTGGCAAGTCGCATAGGGAGAAAAATCATACTTACAAATGGGGGCAAAGAGAAACAACGACCTGTCTCTAAGAATTTTTTAACTCAGAATGTGTTTAATGAAAAAATGAAAATGAGAAATTTACTGAGCGTATTGTTGACGTAACCTCCTCATCTTACACGTTTCTTAGATGTCACGTGACCTCCATGTATGGTCGGGGATTTAGCGCCGACACCTCGTGAAGATCTTCTGCGAATAATGACTTTTATTTGCGACAACGACAATCGAAGCGAAATTTTCTGAGTGTTCATAGAAATATATCGCAATGCCGAAAGGCAAAGCGCAAGGAAAGGGAAAAAATAATGCTGGAGCTGAAGCAAAAGAAAGTAATGCACCAAAACAAAGTAAAGGAGGAACTTCTGTTAAGGCAAGTTTATTTTGTATTACCTCTGATTTCTAAATTTTATTACTAGATTTTCCAGGCACTCTTACACTTACACAGATTACGAATTCTTTAACTTTCATAACTTTTAATAACTTCTGGTGCACGTTTATCTAAATCAGGGATTTGGACTTTCTAGCGATCGAAGAAATTTTAAAGGTGGTCGATATTTGAATATGTACCGACAATTCGGTATAATCAAGATGTAATTGATTACAAAAATATTTATTGATAAGTAATTGTTTGTTGGTCTTGATATAAACTTATGTCACACAAGGTTTTTCGAATTTAAAACTCATCCGAGAGAAATCTTCCAAAATAAAAACTATTATTGAACCACCATTACTGTCTTTTGTTTCTTGTTGCTTAGTGGAAGACTTTAGCCATTAAAAATTGAAATATTTTTGGAAAAATTGTGTAGGACGTAGACTATCATTTCTATAAGTGGTGTTCCACCCTTTCAGGCCCTTACCATTCTCTTAAAAGTATCCCAATGCATGGGGGAGTTCTTAAATAAAAAATTAAAATTCCTGACTAGAGGAAAGTCATAATCGCCATTTGCGCATCTTTTTAAGTATCTAAATTTTCGGACCATTCTTAAACACATAGCAATTGTAGATGAAAATTGTAAACACTTACTAAGCAACTGAACAGTTATATAAAGGCAAATCTTTCTTGATTGGCATATCTTTCTTAAATAAACCATAATAATAATAATAATAATAAATTTCTTCATTAAATATAAGTAATAAATGCATGAAAAATCAAAATAAATTTTTAAAAAAGGTTGATCTGTACATTATGGTAACTTGGCGATTTTTTGGCGACTAACTCTCCTACAGCAACCCTCTATTTTTTTTCCCCGCCGCCATTTTGTCTTCACGAAGTAAAGACATGTTTCTTTTCTTTTTATCTCCTGAACACTTCTTCCAACAATCTACTAGCCGAATTACACTTATGCTAGAAATTTTATCAAACAAAACTGCTTAATCATGACAAATATTCACTGCAAAATTAGGAAAAACTGCACAATACCATCCTCCTTATGGATTTTTCAAAATAACACATACACATAAACCATGTACACGCCGACTTATTTTTACTTAAAAAAACATCCCAGAATTGCACAAAAATGGCATTGCGCACACTCTTCACTATATCCATGTACACTGCTTTTTTCTCATAAATTACAAAAATTTCACGAAAATGCATGACAATTTTCTCAATCTTTAAACCCGGTAAAAAGAACATATATGAAATTACCTGATCGCGAAAAAGTATTTACCCTTTACAAATATGAACATTTCCACATATAAAATAAATAAAATATCCAAAAACTTTTACCTCTAAATCATCTATTACATTATACACGTCACCAACGAATTCATACCGCAAGCATTACAAATACTTAGTATCAAATATTTAAATTATTTCCATGCACGTTTATTTCAACTTAAACGTATACCAAATTCCTACAAGCATAAAATTCACAAAATAACTATCATTTCATTAAAATATCACTAAACCATGTAAACGTCGACTTATTTTTAATTAAAAAAACATCCCAGAATTGCACAAAAATGGCATTGCGCACACTCTTCATTATATCCATGTACACTGCTTTTTTCTCATAAATTAAAAAAATTTCACGAAAATACATGACAATTTTCTCAATCTTTAAACCCGGTAAAAAGAACATATATGAAATTACATGATCGCGAAAAAAGTATTTACCCTTTACAAATATCAACATTTCCACATATAAAATAAATAGAAATATCCAAAAACTTTTACCTCTAAATCATCTATTACATTATACACGTCACCAACGAATTCATACCACAAGCATTACAAATACTTAATATCAAATATTTAAATTATTTCCATGCACGTTTATTTCAACTTAAATGTATACCAAATTCCTACAAAAACATAAAATTCACAAAATAACTATCATTTCATTAAAAATATAATTAAATTCAAAAACACTACTTAAAATATAAATGAGCACATACATTAAATTAATAAAAAAATTACCTTATAATCCTAATTACTTTAAACTAAATCATTGCTAATAACAATTTTCCCAATAATACCAAATTCCTTTCCACCTTACATTTACAACAATGCATAAAAATAATATCCTCAAATAATTAAAAATACTAACTTACCTAAACTTCTTCAGAATCTTGATTACGTGGCGGATACACTTTTCTTCCTTCTGTTTCAGAATCTTTAAAATCATACTTATCTTTCAAAGCAAGATACCAGGTAAAATAAAAAAACATAATAAAACATCTTTATTTCTCTCTCGCACAACCTTAAAAAACATTTATTACTATCCTTTTCAATAGCACTAAATACCCATTTCGAATTCACTTTAGTTACGGCCATGGGATCCAAAAATTCACAAACACTATTTTACACAACACAGAATAAAGCCAAATACAAAATTGCCAGCAGATTTTTTCCCGATTAAAGAACAGTAATTCGTCCATTAATATCACATGACATATCCCATGATCTCTCATTTCCCTCACACAAAATAATGCGTAATCAGAACTGAATACTTACTACTCACATTCTTAACAAAGTCTAACTAACCTAATCTTCTTCCGAATCTTCCTTACATGGTGGATACACTTTTATTATGGATTCAATAAAATTACTGAACGATTTTTTTCCGAATTTGATAGAATTTGATAAAAAAAAAATTCTCTTTATCACATCTACAATTCACTTTAGACAGCGCCATACAATCCCAAAATTATTCAACCCTACTTCACACAAACACACAATGAAGCTTAATACAAAATAATATACATCCACAGATATTGTCCAAATTCCCCCCTTTTCCGATTAAAGAACCGTAATTCGTCCATTAATATCACATGACATATCCCATGATCTCTCATTTCCCCCACACAAAATAATGCGTAATCGGAACTGAGTACTGCTCACATTATTACCAAAGTCCCAGGTAGTAACCTTTATCGCCTCCAAAATGTCGCCAAACTACCAGTTACCATATTGTAAAGATCAAGCTTAAAAAATATTTACAAGGTCTTTTGCATCTTAAACGTTCGGTAAAGTGCAAAATCGTCCTCTTATTTGTCCCTTATTTGTTTTGGTGCTTTTTAAGAGAGTAAGAAGAATTGGTTAATCTTTTGGATTATGGTAACTTAAAGATTTTTTTTTTTGCGAAAATTTGGCAACCAACTCTCTGCTACAGCAACCTTCTACTTTTTTTTTTCGGCGAGACATGTTTCTTTTCTTTTTATTTACTCAACACTTTTTTCCAACAATCTGCTAGCTGAATTACACTTATGCTAGAAATTAGAAATTTTATGGAACAAAACTGCTTAATCATGACAAATATTAACTGCAAAATTGGGAAAAAGTGCAGAATCGCAAAACTCCTTGCCGTGTTTTTCAGAATCGCACATACACAGTAACCATGTACATATCGACTTATTTTTACTTAAAAAAAAATCCCAGAATTGCACAAAAATGGCATTGCCCCCACACTCTTCACTTTATCCATGTACACTGTTTTTTCTCATAAATTAGAAAAATTTGCATGAAAATGCAGGAAAATTTTGTGAATCTTTTTAAATTCGGTAAAAAGCACATATATGAAATTACCTGATCGCGAAAAAGTATATACCCTTTCCAAGGATGAACATTTCCATGTATAAAATAAATAAAATATCCAAAAACATTTCCCTCTAAATTATCTATTATAAACGTCACCAACGAATTTATAACGCAAACATTTGCAAATACTTAGTGTCAAACATTTAAATTATTTCCTTGCACGTTTACTTCTACTGGAACGTATTCGAAATTGCTACAAACATATAATTCACAAAATAAGTATCATTTAATTAAAATATAGTTAAACCATGTACACGTCAACTTACTTTTTACTTAAAAAAAATCCCAGAATTGCAAAAAATGGCATTGCGCACACTCTTCACTATATCCATGTACACTGCTTTTTTTCTCATAAATTAGAAAAATTTCACGAAAATGCAGGAAAATTTTGTGAATCTTTAAATTTGGTAAAAAGGACATATATGAAATTACCTGATCTCGAAAAAGTATGTACCCTTTCCAAGGATGAACATTTGCACGTATAAAATAAATAAAATATCCAAAAACTTTTCCCTCTAAATTATCTATTATAAATGTCACCTGCAATTTATAACGCAAACATTAAAAATGGTTCCAAATACTTAGTGTCAAATATTTAAATTCTTTCCATGCACATTTACTTCTACTCAAACGTATTCCAAAATACTACAAACATAACTCACAAAATCATGATCATTAAATTAAAATATAATTAAATTAAAAATCACTACTTAAAATATAAATAAGCATTACATTAAATTAATAAAAATAAGCTTACAATCCTAATTACTTTAAACTAATACATTTCTAATAACAATTTTCCAATAATACCATATTAATTTATTATTCCCTTACATTTATTCCTTACATGCATAAAAATAATATCCTCAAATGATTAAAAAATACTAACTTACCTAATCTTCTTCAGAATCTTGATTGCATGGCGGATAAACTTTTCTTATAGATTCAATAATCCAGTAGTCAACTGGCAGTCTATTCACCCAGTAATAAGAAATTAATAAAGATTTCACCCATACTCAAACGACTTTCAGCAAACCACGTACCCTTCCTTACACTTACGTTTCACAAAATGTCCATTTCTCACCAAATTTCTTGCACCAGCCATTCAAACTTATCTGTAATATCCTTCCTTTCACACAATCTCATTTCATTCCCACATGTTGGACATTCATACTTATCCGCAATTAATCCTACACTCATACACCATTCAAGCAATTCTTTTGGATTATCAGATAAAATGCAATAAAAATTTTAGAATTCACTTTAGATAGCGCCATGGGATCCAAAAATTAATCAACACTCTTTCACACAACACACAATGAAGCTAA